CCATTTGTAATGGGATTTTGTGTGTCTGAGATTTTGACATATCCCTGCCAAACAATGCTCCAACCCACCCATAAATTATACTTCTTCTAGAAAGTGTGGGCATGATATATTGAAATAAATGCCAGGTTAGATAAAAAAAGTTCTGTGCCCTGGAACTTCTAAGAATATCACAGGAGTAAAGGTACCCCTGAAGAAATGCCCCACTGAGACTTGGTCCTAGCCCACCCATCTATGTCAAGGATCCCAGCAGCCATGGCAGTATCAAACCAGGAAGACTGAGAGTCATGGGAAAGATCAAGCCCACTTTCATTACCAGATGGGGAAACTGAGGCCTCAAGAAGGAAAAGATCCAGCCACACCCCATGATGAAACAAGGAAAGGCATGGGTCAGGAATGCAATCCAAATGCAACGGCTCCTCCCACAGTAAGAGAATGAGATGCCCCATCAGGTCCACACCCACTGTGGACCCAGGAGACCCACACCCAGGCTGGAGGCTGAGGACCCTGTACTCCAAACCTGCTTCTGCCACTAACCACCAACAATCTCTGATCCACCTCCCAGCTGACCCTGCCCTCCCTCTCTTCTGTGGGCCCATCACATGGCGATTCCCATAGCTTGCATCCCCCCCCCAAGTGGTCACACTCACTCCTAGGACTTCAGCAACCACCTTCACATAGCCAACCCTGGCCCCCACCCTCACCAAAGCCCTAACCATCATCTCCTACTTTTTGAGTGGGTCACCCCACTAAGTACTACAATAGGCATTCACCACCACAAGGTCAAATATACCACAGTAGTTGTGGCCCCCTCCCCATCCCCCACATCTACTCTCAATCTGTTATCCTCAATATTGTGTTGAAGGCGCTTCTACACACCCCTTTCCTCAATCCCACCTGTACTCCACCACAACACCTTATCCCCAATGTCATCCGCCTCCCATCACTGGTCTGGAGAATATATAGCAATCCGCCTGGACTACTTTCAGAGCTCCACTACTTTCCGCCTCTAGCCACAGTGACTTTCCTGAAGAGCAAATCTGACAAATTTTAAAAGTGTAAAAATAACTATAAAATAACTAACATTAGTGACTATTTAATAAACCTTGGCAAGAAGGCCTTCCTACATGAGATTAAAACTGCAAGCTATAAAGGATAACAGAGATTTAACTGCGTTCATTGTATCTTACTTCATACTTTGAAGCTGAGGACTGAACCCAAGGCCTTGCACATGCCCAAGCACATACCCTTATCACTGAGCTACATTCCCAGTTTCATAAGAAAAACAACCACGTATAAAGAGACAAATGACACTCGGAGAAAATATTTGCCATATATACCAGCAAATTTCTATCTAGAGGAGGGTGGGCAACCATGGCTCACAGGCATAATCCTGCCAGCTGCCTGGTTTTTTTTGTAAATAAAGTTTTATTGAAACATAGCCATACTCATTAGTTTATGTATTGTCTACAGCTCATTTTGTACCATGATCACAAAGTTGCCACAGAGATCATAAAGGTTAATACATTAGTATCTGGCCTTTTATAAAAAAAGTCCACAGACCCCAGTGACCTAAAGCATACACAAATCAATGGGGGACAGGAGGAAAACGAAATCAATGGAAAAATGGACAAACAAGCAAGTAATCCACAAGAGAAACAAAAACACTCAAATATTATAAGGAGAGCTTAACCTCACGTAATTGGGGAAATTATTAAGGAATTAAATCATTTGATAATATCCAACCCTGGAAATGTTATGACATAGCCTTTTTTGGAAAGCAATTTGGTGGTATCTGTAAAAAAAAAAATTTAACGCACTCGATGTCAACCCAGCCGTTCTATTTTTAGGCATCTGCCCCCAGAGAAATACTTGCATTTGCACACACACGCACACATGCCCAAAAGCATTTATAACACTGTATGCTGAAACATTCACTATTTATAACAGCAAAACTCATCAGTAACCTTGATGTCCATCAATCAGGGAATGGGTTAAATCACAGCACATCCTTAATGGTCTAACAGGCAAAACAATATTGATATATTTATATGTAACACCATGAAAAGAGCTCTGAGATATTTCTAAACAGGAAAAGAAATTGGAAATACATGAACGCAATTCAGGTTTAAAAGCATATCTGTGTCCATATGTACACAGAGAAATGCACAGGAGGGCAGAGGGACTGCAGGACAGGATGACAAGTAATAACTAACTGTGGCTTAGTACCTAACCCAGACCACTCTGAATTCCAGTGATGAGAAGAAGGCAAGGAACTCCTCTGTCCCAAATCTACACTGGCAAGGCACCTTCTGCAACATAATCATCCTTGACATTAGTGCCCTCAGGATGTGCTCATGGGATGGCCACTGTAGACCCTGAACAGCGGTAGGAGAAAGAACGACGACTTAAGGATCCTGGCTCTCTCCCTACACTAGGCAAGTTGTTTCTCTTCTCCAGGTTTCAGTCTTCTCAGCAGCAAGAGAAAGTGGTAAGATTAGCTGATCTCCAGGTCCCTTCCAGGTCTGATGCCAGAATACAGGCCCTGGAAGAGCTCTTGTACCTCTCTAGGGGAAAACCAACCAACCAACAAACAAAACCCACAGCTGAGGAAATACAGCTCAAATCAGGATGTTCTGAGGAATGTCTACCCTGGGAAGATGACATCCCAAGAGCAAAAGCCGTCCCTCCTCCCTGGGCTCAGTGTCCAGGCCTATTAAAGAGGGGGTGGCCTCCGTGGTTGCTGATGTATCTTCCAGCTTGGACTGTCTAAAATAAGCCCGGGGCAGGGAGGGGCAAAAGGAAGCAGGGGCTTGGGAGAGACCAATGGGAACTGACTGGCTAAGGTTTTCTAATGGAGCCGTAAGGATGAGAGGGAGCAAGAGGCTGGGGGAGGGCCGGATGCACAGAGCAGCAGTGAAGCTGTTGGCAACAGCCCTGAGTTTCCCTCCTCTCTTTTCAAGAGCAGTTTCTTCCTGAAAGATCCCAGGAGGTAGAAGGCTGGGCTAATCTCTCTGAGCACAAATAACCCCACTCATTATTTCAGGAACTATCATTCCAGTTGTGCCCTGGAGGTCTCAGGCCTGTTTCAAAATCCACAATTCAACTTTGAATACACTGAAAGAGTACAGTACTTCAAATTTTCCTCTACCCTTGAATCCAATTAATAATCAACAGATTTTTTAACAACTTCTACTCAAGCATGCAAATTCCACTCTAGTGTATCTAAGCTTAAGAATCAAAAAAAAAAACAGCCACCTATGGTATAAACACCTAATTTATCAATTCGGGCAGGTGCTTAGAATAACCAGGCAACTTTCAAGTCTCTCTCAAAACAGCCCAAAACTTCTTAAAGTTGGCTCTTCTATGACCAGTTTTTTGTTTGTTTGTTTGTTAAATTGTTAGAGGGGGAAAAAGTTGAATTAAATATCATTCCTTGCTTTTCACAACAGTTCCATGAGGGAAGTAAGCCACTGACCAACTTACAGATAAGGAAATTAAAATAGAGCTAAAAGAACTTGTTCAAGGTCACACCACTGAAAGTGACAGCCAAGACTGGAAACAAAGTCTCCCCACTCCTCTTCACCATAGGAACTGCTTCCCAGAAAAAAAAAAGAAAAAAAAAAAGCATCAGGATGAAAAGAGGAAATCAAGTTTTTCCTCTTTTAAAAGTCCACCCCCCTGCCCTCCAGAACACCTTGGGAGCACTGCACTTCCCAGGATGACCTGCCGCTAAGGCCTTGAGTTTGGGTAAAGCTTCTTGGCCTTTCGGCTGGTGGAAACCTGACCTCAGAGAAAGCCACCGCATCCAGGAACACAACCCCTGCCCCTACCACCCTGCTCCTGTCTGCCCTGTAAACAAGACAAACCCTGCTCGCACTTAAGTGGCATCAAAAACAGGCCAGAGCACTTCAAAGCCATGCTTTCTGTCTAAGGGGGTTCTTTTGCAAAAGGAGTGGCTACAACTAGGTCACACTGGACTGGAATGTGAAGGGAGCTCCCCTGGCCTCATTCAGGGAGTTGAGAGAAAGCTCTGAAGAGGATGGAGACTGGGGGGTGAGAGGGTGAGCAAGGGTGCACAGGTCCAAACCAAGGAGGGGCAAACAAGGCCTGGAATCCACCCGTGCAGGGGTTCCCAAGGGTTCCCAAGGGACTGCAGTCCCTAAACCAACGCTATGTTTTTGGTGTCTTGACTCTGATGCAAGTTTGGGAGCTACTAAAGGAGTCCAAAGCCTTCAACTGACAGATAAGCCTGGAGGAGTGAACCACATCTTAGCTGGAACCCCTAGGTCTTCTCATTCCCAGTCCTTGACCAAGAACTGGAAAGGCTATGGGGGGGAGGGGGGAGAGCAGGCCCTTGCTCTCCCTTCAACAACAACAACAAAATGCCCTTTCAGTGGAAGTTCAAAAGCAAGAGCCTCCTCCCCAGACTTGGAGACCCTCCGCCTCTCTTCTGTCCCTGAGGGTGACAAGGACTTAGGTCAGGATGGGTCCCACAAGGCAGAAGGCCATGCATGCATGGTCCACCCAGACAAGCCAATCCCTGGACAGTCTTGAGTTCCCAATACAAGAGTCTGTGGGTGCAGGGTGGAAAAGGGGGTGGGGTGGGGGGGGGGAGTGGGGGTGGGGGGTCCCTGCCAAACATCAAGCAATTCCCAAGGCGCTTTGTTCCTACGAGGAGAAAACAGGCATTTTTGAGTCACCCAAAAAAAAGCATGAATCACACGGCAGGGTTGTGGGAACGGGAAAGGATGTTATTTTTCGGCATACTTGAGGATTTTCCCTTTGTCCTGACTCTATCCGTCCTCCTCCCACCCCCCAGCCGCAGCCCCAGCTCCCAGCACTCACGCACACATTTTTCTTTTTTTTTTTACTGCTCCATTTTTATTTTCCCCACGGCCTTCAAAGGCGCCCCGGCCCTGGCCCGCCTCAGGGGCACGCGACGCGGGTCTCCGGGGTCCAGGACCCCAGAGTCGCCCGCCCCCCCCCCCGCCGCCGCTCACCTGCGTCAGGTCTTCGTCGTTGAGCAGATGCGACTCTCGGGGCTTGAAGCAATTCTGACACTTGCTCTTGTTGAAGATGTTGGCCTGGAATTTCCTGCACGGATTCTCCTTGGCCGCCGACATGGTCGTCGCAGCGGCAGCGGCGGCGGCGGCGGCGGCGGCGCCGCAGGCCCGGCCCGCGCGCTCCCGGCGGGGTCGGGGCTCAGCGCAGCCGCCGCCGCATCCCCGGCCGGCCGCCGCCGCAGGCCCGGCCCTGCCTCTCCCGCGGCCCGGCTCGCCACACGCCGAGCCTGCCGCGCCGCCGCCGCCGCCGCCGGGCCTCACAACGCGCGCGCCGCCCCGCGCCCGCCCGCACTGCCGCCGCCCGGCCGCCTCGGGCCCATGGACGCAGCCCCCTGACCCCGGACTCCCGCCGCCGCGGCCGCCTCTCAGGCGCCGGTCACCACCGGCCCCCGCTGGTCACCCCCGCTGCCGCTGCTTTGGGAGCCCGCGGCCGTTGCAAACGGGAGCGGAGCGCCTAGCGCACTCCGGGCGGGGCGGGCGGCGCGGGCGGGCGCCGGGCGCGCGGGGCGGGGCCCGCACCGAAGTGATCGGCAACCCCGCTAGCCAATAGCGGCCGTGCGCTCCCGCTAACAAAGAAACCCTTGGGCCAATAGCAGTCGGGGGGCAGGGCCAAGAGCGCCCGAGCTCAAGGTAACTTGTGCAGCCGAGGAGGAAGGTGGGGGCGCCGGCCTGGGACGTTCAGGTTTGGTGGACTGGCGCCGAGGCCAGCGGGCCTGACAGCTGCAGAGGCGGGGAGGGAAGGGGGAGCCAGAGGGGCGGGGAAGGGGGGGAGCTGAAGGCGGGGCCGACCTCTGGCTGGCTCTCTCCGCAAACCCCCCTCAGTTCCAGTCCAGCCCTTCTCTCGGCGTGCGCCACCGGACAGAGCGAGCGGATTCGTGGAGCACCTATGAAACGTCGTGGTCCTAGTTTGCATTATTCGTCAGGAGTGGATACTGGTTTCCAAGTACTCCCAAGGCTTTGGCTCATTCAAGTTTCACCACCTCTCCTTGATCGCTCCCATTTTGCAGATGAGAAAAACTGAGATGCGGGGAGCAGTTAAGTAATAGGAGGTAATGTTTCCAGGGATGACTAAGAGAAGATGTCAGCCAGCCTCCCAGAGCTGTTAGTTCTATTATGGGAGATGAGTGAACGCTGACTCTCTGCCAGGTCCTGAGCTAGGCATTCTTTTCTTGGTTATGGGTTGGAGGAAATGAAGGGTCAGACGCACCGAGTAATTTTGTGCAGGGTCATTCTGCTAGGGAAGGTGGGGGGGGGGGCGATCTGTCACTCCAGGCCCTCCACTGTCCAGTCTCTTGGCCAAGAGAACCTGGAGACTCGCTTGTGAAAGGCACAGGCAGAAGGGTGTGTAGGATTCAGAGGGAAGGGGGAAATGTACCCTGTAGGAGAATTAGATTGGCTTCCAGGAGCATCAGGGTGGATTGAAGCAGATAGTGAGAGGCTCCCTGGAGCCGGTGGTGAAGACAGGGAAAGAAGGAGCAGAGAAAGAAGTCTAAAGGATTTGAGGAAGGTGGATCACCCAGGGCTTTGGATTCCAGGCTCTGGCGTGTAAATGTCAGCCTGCTGGCAGAAGGGAGTCATCCTGAGTTTTTAAACTGGGTGAGCTAACTCCGTCTTCACAGGGGAGGTGACATTGGAGCATGTGGCAGCAGCAGCGACAGCAGCTGTTGCTTAGGAGATGGGAAGGCTGTAGGAGAAGAAGTAGCAAGTACTTCCACTGCTGTGTACTTTTCCACTGATCCTCTGGTGACTATCCCAGGGAGGTGGATTTTCACTTTGAGTAAGAAATGCTTTTCTACAAAGGGGATCAGAGAAAGGCAGATCAAAGTCCTCAGGCAGCCCAAGGGGGAATAGCCCAGCTCCACCCCTCAGCTCCAAGGCAGCATTGGGCAAGTCCTTTACCCTGCCTTGTGCCTCGGTGACCACATGTACAAAATTGACATGATTGTATGATGTTGCAAGCATGAAGTATATAATGCTTGTAAAATATTTCACATAATGTGGAGAAAAAAACATTAATTGAATCTAGGCAAAGGGTGTTTATTTTCCTATTCTTGCAACTTCTGTTGGTTTTAATTTTTTTTTTTTTTCAAAATAAAAGAGATGAGGAAAATGGGCAAAGAAGACCTACAATTCTTGCCTTCCCAGAATACTAAGAAAGTGATACCAAGTGTGGCCTCTGGGGAGGGGAGCTGGGTGGTTGGGAGGTGACCTACTTTTAATTTTCATTCTAAGCCCTTTTGTTCCCTTTCGGATTTGGTATTATGTGCAAGTACAACTTCTTTTAAAATAAAAATTTTAAAGTCCGATCCTTGCCTCAGGGCCAACACAAAAGCCACCCTACTGAGAAAATGCTTGGTGTGTTCAGGTCAATGGACACACATCCAGTGCCCAAGGGGGTCTGCAGCTAGGGATATTAAAAAAAAAAAAAAAAAAAGAGTTTGATTCAGGAATCCAGAGACTGCCTGCCTGGAAGGAGCTCACTTTCAAGTAATTTAGACATTTGAAAACAAGAGGCACAGATGGCACTCCATGTAGAGAGTTGTGGGGGGCCAAGACCTAGGGGGTACCCAACACCATAGGTAGCTTCAGGGAGTGCTCCACACAGTTCATCTCCACACAGTTTGTCACTAGAGCTGCCTGGGGAGTGGAGACTACCAGGGCCAGCTGGGCCACATAGCTAGACCCTATCTCAAAAACAAACAAACAGAAAAACTAGACTAGTCTCCAAGGCACCAAAAGGATGGGACTGGCTCTCGGTTACTACTCCAATTCCTGGGCCTAGTTCAATGCCTGGTACACAATCAACATCCTGTGGTAAGCAAATGGATAAAAAAAAAACATACATTTCCACTTTGGATTGAAGTATCTCCCTGATCAGATTACAAAATCTCATGGACAGGGTCTGGATCCTGTAGCCTTGGGTTCCCTTTCCAGGGACCTAGAATAGTACTTTGCACCAGCTTTGATACCCAATGTTAATATTCATTAGTGTTCTGTACATCTCAATGTATAATATGTTTCTCCAAAAAGCAAATAGACAAGCGAAAAAGAAAAAGTGTCTCAGGTAAGTATTGCTCTGTGGTCCTGAATGCCACCCTGAAGCCTTTCAGGCATCCCATGAGGGAACAGAATTTACATACACACACACACACACACACACACACGGAAGTAACCGCTATTTTGGTCTCATCACCATAAATTAGTCTTGTCTGTCCTTGAATCTACCCTGTGTCTGGCTTTTCTCACTCAACAGTGCATCTGTGAAATTCATCCATCCACGCTGACTCTGCAGGTATTGGCAGATCATCCTGTTTCATTGCTGCCCTTAATCCCATTGTGTGGATGTGCTACAGTGTATCTATGCTCTTGGGAATGGTCACTGGGGATGTTTCCAGTTGGGGGTCACCCCTGCAATACCATTCTTCACACCTGAGAGATGAGCTGTCTTCTCATATCTTCTCTGCTAGTAAATGATCATAAGATTCGCTGGGAAGAACATGTTAATACTTCAGATTACCAGGGCCTTCCCATGGAAGTAGTCTATATGTTGGAATGTAAGAATTTCTTTTTTTTAAATAAGCATAGTGGGATTTTTTTTTTTTGGTACCAGGGATTGAACCCAGGGGGTACCACTAAGCCACATCCCCATTCCTTTATTTATTTATTTTGAGACAGTTTCTTGCTAAGTTGCTTAAGGCCTCACTAAGTTGCTGAGGCTGGCTTTGAACTCTCGGGCCTCCTGCCTCAGCCTCCTGAACCACTGAGATTACAGATGTGTGCCACTGCACCAGGCCATTTCTTATCTTTAGGTCAAGTTTTGGATACAGTGGACGGAGCTATGGTTCTCAAGTCCTGGGGACAGGCGTTAAAAATTCCTACTCCAAGGTGTTCACCACTACTAGTATGTTAATAGGCCCTCAGGAAATTTTAAAGCACACACTTATTCGTGCACACACACTTACTGGTGCACACACACATGGTAGGTAGACCAAGAGTCACCCTAGTAGTCACTGCCCTAGGAAACCACCCTCACCCCTACCAAGCATGGTGGCTAAACCCCTGTTTTATTGTCTTTCATGCTTCTGTGATGCGAAGTTCTGCTGTTCTTACCTGGGGGTCCCTCAGGCAAGTTCCATGGGAAGATAGCTGGGGCTGGATCATCTTGAGGCTGGTAGCTGACTGAGCCCTGCCCTTTCCGCACAATCTCAAAGAGTCTCTCCTTCCCTGTGGACTCCCCTTCTGCTCTACGCATCTCAAGGGGTCCCCAAAAGGGCTCCAGGAAGCAGAAGCTACCAGTCCTTTTAAAGGCAAGGTCTGAGACTCCACCACATTCCATCAGTCAGTACAAGGCACAAGGCCACCCCGGGCTCAAGGTGGAAGGGCTGACAGGCGTGAATCCCCAGAGATGTGGGTCACTGGGGCCAGAAATAGTAACCACTTCATAAGATCGTGAGGACTAAACAAATTGATGTGACGAGTTTAGAACAGTCCCCAAACACAGTAAGTTCTCAGTAATATCAGCATTTATTTTTGTCCTATAACCTCTATGCCAGGGACTGCATATTTATTTTTGCATAAAGGGCCAGATAGCCAATATTTTAAACTTTTTAAGTCCATATGACCTCTATTGCAGCTACTCAGCCCAGCCTTTGTCACATAGAAGCATTTATAAATAAATGAATAAAGAAACTGAGGCACAGAGAGGTCAAGTAACGTATTCAAGGTTATGCAACCAGTAAATGGTAGTAAGGCTTGGATTCCAAGGTGGGCAGTGTGTTTATAAGCTCTGCCCTGCATGACCCTCAGCCACTAGAATTACAGGTACTGATGAGGGGCAGGGAACCTCCTTTCCTAAGGCTCAGGTTGCTTCCCTGGAAGTCAGACCAAAAGATCTCAGAAGCTCCTTCCAGCTAGGACTCAGGGATGCTTTTCCACAGCAAGCACCAAGTGACAACTGTCTTCAGGCGTGCATCAGGAGAGAATGTCGCATGCTAGACATAGAAAGTCCACCTGAAGGGCAAGTTAGCCATTCTATTACATATTTTAAATATGCATCCTTTTGATTGAGTGATTTCACTTCTAGAAAGATGGGTTATAAAATTGCTCTCTCACAGGTACCCAAAAATAAATTATGGACCAGGATGTTCTCTGCTTCCTTGTTCTTAATAGCAGAAAATTGGAGACACTCCAATTACCACCATTAGAAAAATCAGATAAGTAAATGATGGTTCTTTGACACGGGGGACGACCATGAGGCTTGTTGAAAACAGAGTTTTTCAATGGCTAACAGTCTACAAAATGTTGTGCAGTTAAAAAAAAAATGAGTAGAGCTGGGTGTGGTGGTACACACCTATAATCCCAACAACTCAGGAGGCTGAGGCAGGAAGATTTCAAGTTTGAGGCCCAGCCTCTGCAATTTGGAGAGATCCTGTCTCAAAACAAAAAAAAAATAAGAAGCGGATATGGCTCACGGGTAAAGTGCCCCTGAGTTCAAACCCCAGTACTACCAAAAAAAATTGGGCAAGCTAGGTCTATTGGTATGTGCCTTTAATTCCAGCTATTTAGGTATTTAGAAGGCTAAAGCAGGAGGATCCCTTGAGCCCAGGATCCCTCTTCAAAAAAAAAAAAAAAAAAAAAAAAAACTAATGAAAAAATGGTCTGTCTCATGGGTTTTCATTCATATTTTTTAAGAATATACGTGTTTGTTTCAGCCACAGTGGCACATGCCTATAATCCAGCAGCTCAGGAGGCTGAGGCAGGAGGATTGCAAGTTCAAGGCCAGCCTCAGCAACTTAGTGAGTGAGACCTAAGCAACCCAGCAAGACCTTGTCTCTAAATAAAATATGAAAAAGGACTTGGATGTGGTTAAGCACCCCTGAGTTCAATTCCCAATACCAAAAATAGGTATGTGTTTGTGTGTGTGTGTGTGTGTGTGTGTGTGTGTTTGCAATGTATATATGTCAGGGGGTGCATATACCCACCTACCCCAAACAGTTCATTGTAATTAATCAGGAGGTAAAAGATTGGTACTTGGTACTCTTTCCTAAGCTATAGGTTTATATTATGTTTAAATATTTTAACAAGCTTCTTGTTTTGTTTGCTAATCTACAGAGAATCGTGATATAATGATTCATTATATAATGAAGGTGGGGTCCCATTGCCTGTCTTCAATACCACTGGCTCATGACAGGTCTTGCTTCAGACATAACCCCAGTCACACCTCCCCTCCTATATTTTATTAAAGCAAATCCCCAAGTCATACAATTTCTTCCATAAATAGTCCAGTGAATGTCTGTAAAAGATAAGGACTCTTTTTAAAAGCCACAATACCATTATCACACCTCAAAAAAATAATTCTTTAATATCATCAAATATCCAGTAAGTAATTTCCAGTTATCTCATAAAAACATGAATTATTTTTGTCTAGAAAAAAAAAAGTTTGAAAAAGAAAAAAAATCAAAGGTACAACTTCTCTGAGCATTGTTGAGTGATACTTATCTAAAGCCTTTGAAAATGTGCTTATCTTTGCCCCCGCAATCCCAACCCATGAACTTATACTAAGGGAAAAAAAAAAAAGCAAAGAGGAACATAAATATTTTTCACCAGAGGATGCAGTGCCTGTAACATAGAAGTTGCTTGAAAAATATTGGTTGAAGTTTAGTTACCGCACTGTTGTTTGCAGCTTTGTTTGTAAAAGGAAACACCAAGAATAACAAAAGCGTCTGACCTTAGGGTAACAACTCAGTGAAAGATAGAAAATCCATTAAATGGAATTTTAAAATCATATTCTAACAGCGCAGGTAGATACCATCCCTGCACACACGAGAATTGGAGCTTAATCTCTGTCTCCTCTTGAGTGTAGGTAGATTTAGATTTTTCACCCAAAAAAATGGAGTGTGGAAAAGAGGAACCCTGGCTGACACTCCTTACCCATTCCCAGTGACGAGTCATGTGGTTTCAGGTGCCCCTGATATAGCACAATGCCAAGGACACCCTCTGGTCTAGTACCCCCAAACCCATAATGTGGGTCTCATCATGAGAGAAACATCAGACAAACCCAAACGAGGGGAATTCTACAAAATATCTGAGCATGTTCCGTGTTTCTAAAAGATACCTGAGCTGTCTTCCAAACTGTCAAAGCCATGAGAAATCTTCAGAAAATTGTCAGGGGCTAGAGGAGCCTCAGACTAAATGCCATATGGGATCCCTGATGGGATCCTGGGCTAGAAAAAAATGGCATTCATGGAAGAACTGGTGGAATCCTCCTAAAGTCTGTGGCTTAATTTATACTGTTTAATTAATGCTAATTTTTCAGTTTGGACAGATTACCATGGTCACACAAGATGTTAGCATTCGGGGAAGGTGGGTACCAGAACGCTGTGTTCTCTTTGGCAACTTTACTCTAGATCTAAAATCATTCAAAAAATAAAAATTTTTTTTTTTTAGGGCTGGGGAATGTAGCTTAGCGGTAGAACACTTGCCTACGATGGGCAAGGCTCTGGGTTTGATCCCGAGCACTCATAAAAACAAAACCAAAAAATATATATATACATATTTTAAAAAATCGGGATGCAGATATTTATTAGCATAGAAATATATTCATAATATTTTAAGGGGTCTCATGCCACTTTTTGTATGTTCTCATCTAGTTTTTGCTGAGTGAAGCCATTTTTGTAGAATAATGAATAATAGCAAGATGTGCATACAGTCATTAGTGGGTAGATGTGTTTGTCACCTGCACACGTGAGGAAACAAGTCTACAAGCCTATGACTTCCGGGGTGGCAGACTCAGAAGCCTCCAGGGGCCAGGTAAGTGAGGACCTCAGCAATTCTGGATTGTTCACGTTCCTCAAAGGAGCAGCTGTTGGTGGCCCCAGACTATTGCTATCCTGCAGGACTGGGACCCAGTCCCAACAGACCTTCTAATTCTCAAAAAAAAAAAAAATCGAAATCCAGATTGTTACACCAATTGTCAAAGCCTGCAGAACTGTGGGAAGAGGTAACTTCAGGATCACACAGCCAAGGAAAAGTAGGCTGGGACTGCCAAGGGCAGGCAAGACAGGCCGCTGGCTATGTGGTGCAGGCCTCGGCCCCACCATCTGCACCAAACCCTGGAGGTCGGTCAGCGGGCCAGAGCGGCACAGCGGTGCTCTTCCTGCCAGGGACGCTGCGCATGGCCAGGCTGGAGGGTGGAGGTTTGTTCAACATCCACATGCTTGGGATCTGATACTTCTGGTGCACCTGGTCAACGGTGGGAGCTGTGTGCATTTTTTTTGTGTGCGTGCATACACACTTAGGAACTAGTGATGAAGCATCTCCTTATGCTTTCATGCCTACATGTCCAGGTGGCGTCTGGCTGTCTCTGAGGGTGTCTGGTTGACAACGGCGTTCTACATCTCACATGCATATTGGTGTGCTTCTCCATGGGTCTGTGCCTACATCCGTGAATATGTGAGTGTGTGCAATAAGTAGCATGGATGCATCCGTCCGTGGGTATCCATGGTATAAGTATGTTTGTGAGAGTTGCATTATCTCTCTGGCCTCAATGCACCGTGTGTGCATCCCGTGTGTGTGTGTGTGTGTGTGTGTGAGTGAGCTCTGTCAGATGGGGCCATGTCTGTATGACTGTTGTATGCACAGGTGCCTGTGTCCATGGCTCTGGATTGTGTCTGGCTGGGTGTATGTGTGAGTGTGAGGCTGGGGCCCCACTTTCTCCATGCCTTGTGCCTGGTTCCAGCAGATCCCTAGAAAGAAGCATGCAGTGTCCAAGCATCTCTCCCACCCCACCCCCACCCCTGCTATCTCCCAATTCCCAATCAAAGGCCTGAGAAGGGGCAGGGTGTGTCAGCTGCCAGCCCCAGGTTCAGAGGACCCCGGAACACCTCCTGGTGCACAAACACAGCAGCCACCAGCCTACCCTGACCTGGCTTCTGGAGGCCCCTTGCCCTTGGCCCACTGGAGAGAATGTTGATCCGGGACTCAGCCCTGCAGCCCACCACCACTTCATCATGGCCCACAAAGACTTGCAGAGGGCCACTTGTTTAAAGGAGATGGACACAGACCAACCTGGGAAAGCACAGAGGGAGGGCATGTTCTTGCAGACGGTCCTCCTGGAGGGTATTATTCCAGACAGCGAGTAGAGGACTGGGGTAGGAAGGCTCAGGCCAGTGACATCATCTGAGGGGTTCTGCTGAGAAGGAGCCGTTCCCATGACAGTGCAGGAGAAGGGGTAGCAGGAAGAGAAGGCCCTGGCTTTAGCTGTAACTGGAAGGACCTTGGTTTAAAAAAAAAATTTATTTTATTTTTAAAACTTATTTTAGTTGTAGATGGACACAATACCTTTATTTTATTTTTTTGTAACGTGGTGCTGAGGATCGAACCCAGTGCCTCACGCATGCCAGGCAAGCGTTCAACCACTGAGCTCCAACCCCAGCCCCAAGGAAGGACCTCGGTTTGATTTGAAAATGGAATTCCTAGTTTAAAAGAAAAAAAAATGATGTCATAAGCCACACATTACCAGGAGCAGGGATCCTCAAAATGCCCTCCTCAGAGGGGTCAGGGAAGGCACCAGCAGCCCTTCTCACTCTGAAATCATCTTGTGTCCCGTGACAGAATGTCCGCTCCACAAGGACAGGGCCGTTGTTTATCTCGTGTCCTTCTGTCCCCTGCGTCTGAGACGGTGTCTGGCTCATGCTAGAGGCTCCCATGAGGTTTGGGGAACGAGTGGATGACCGAGGTGAGGATGGACAGGTGGCTGCCCCTCATTCAGAGCCTGCTGGGCACAGCCTTACGCATGTGCTCTCCCTTGTACCCTCCAACAGCTCTGGAAGGAAGGGGGCACTTAGATAAGGACCCTGAGGCTGGGAGAGGTGAGGTCACTTACCTGAGGTTGCATAGGCAGCATGTGGCAGCCTGGCTTGGAGAGGCCTGCAGAGGACTCAGGAGAAACAGAGGTCAGGCAAGGGCCAGTGGGCACACTGCCTTTCTGCATGACAGCTCTCCATTCATGCACAGGCCTCTGCTTCCCCTGGTGTCCCCACCTGGAGCCTCCTCACCTGCTTCAGGTACCATCACTGCTCAAGGTCACTGCTGGGGAAGTCATAGCCAGGTGGCCTCAACTGGGCCCAGTTGGGCGGGCCCAGCCCTGGGCACGCTGGTGGCTCCGCCCATCACTGGGCAGGCAGACCTGCCCTCTTGGGTGCTCCCTGGACTTACATCAGCTGGGTGGACTGGGGCAGCCTCCGGAGGAGAGGAAGAATGCAGCTCATTGTTAGCAAAAGGCCGGGATTCCTTTCCAACTGGCCCCACCCAGAGGCGCCGTCAGACCAGGCTGAGAGCAAGACTGGGTGAGGTGCTGGGGACAAGCTGACCCTCACTGCCCTAGGATGGTCTAACCAGCTCCAGGAATAAGGACCCATGTATTCGTCACCATCTAATCTCGCTGCCATTCATGCATGTGATTTTTATAATGAGAAAAAAAAAATGTACTATAAAAATAACTTCTCTCTCGCTTGCCCAATCCAAGGTTATTCTAAGCACTCACTCGTTTAATCCTCACAGTGACTCACCACCGCCAGGGAAGTAGTGTCACCGACCACATTGCAGAGGAGGAAACTGAGGCCCCGTGAACTTGCCCACGTTCACAAAGCCAACCGGTGGGGATCCACACCCAGCACGGATGGGCCCCAGTGCCCCCTTTGCTCTCAAGCAGTGCACCAAGTCGCTTTCAGGTTGGTGGTGGACACTGTCAATGCTCTGGACCCATATGATACAGATGAGCAAACACGGGGCTTGGGGTGTCAAGCTTCAGCTCTGTTCTACCCTTGCTTGTGACCTTGGGTGAGTCACAGTTTCCTCATCTGTAAAAAGGAGGAGTAATAATACCCACCAGAGCCCCAGTGGGCTTTTAGCGAAGAGAGAGTAAGATGAAGTCCTGGATATAAACTTCAAAGTGCTGTGCATACACGTAGGGCACCATTAATGCTGAGGATCTGTTTCGCATGGTGTCTGATCCAGTCTTTCCTCCTTGACCATAAGTTCCTCGCACATGAGGGACCATATAAAAATTACCTGCCTCTCCACAGGTCTTAATCAGAATTGGCTCCCCCAAATCTGTAGTGGGCTGGGGGTGTAGTACAGAGCTAGAGTGCTTGTCTAGCATGCATGAGGCCCCAGGTTCAATCCCTAGCACCACAAATACAAAAATTTATGTGTGTGTGTATGTGCATAGATAGATATAGATACATTTATTGACCAAATGACACAGCACACTGTAGTAGCTACAAGCACAGTTTCCAATTAGTACAAATACCTTACACCTTGGAAAACTATTTGGCAGAGTCTACTGGAGCTAAATTGAGGTACATCCAGTGATAGCCATTCCACTCCTGAGCATTTCCCTAACAGAGACGAATGCCTGTAGCCACCAAAACAGTCATTCAGGGGCTGGGGTTGTGGCTCAGAGGTAGAGCTCTCGCCTAGCACGCGTGAGGCACTGGGTTCTATCCTCAGCACCACATAAATATAAAATAAAGATATTGTGTCCACCTATAACTAAAAAAATAAATATTAAAAGAAAAACAGTCCTTCAAAACTGCAGCCGCTTTATGTGTAATAAGAACAGAAATAGAGGGGTGGGTGAACAAACTGTACGTGCGTGATACACTCACACACATTCACCTCAGCATTGAAAAATCAATGGCCAATTAACTGCTTCAACAGGGGTGAAGCTTAGAGACCTAGTGGGGAGTGCAGGGAATCCGACATAAAAGGGAACACATGGTATCAGTCTATGGGTGAGAATTTCAAGAAGAGAGATGACTCACCTGGAGTCCCAGCTGCTTGAGAGGCTGAGGCAGGAGGAGGGGAAATCTGAGGCCAGGCTGAGCAATTTAGTGAGACCCTGTTCCTACATTAAAAAAAAAAAAGTAAAAAGCTGGGGATACAGCTTAGTGGTAGAGCACCCCTGGGTTCAATCCCTGATACCACAAAAACAAACTTAAAAAAAATTTTCCAAAAAGAGACAAAAGAATATCTGGGGCTAAAGGTCAGGATCGTGACCCTCTCTGGGAAGGGGATTCTATGTGGGGAGGAGACTACTGGGATATCAGACGTGTTTTATTTCCATCTGGGTGGTAGGAGTGTGTGTGTGTGTGTGTGTGTGTTTTCAAGTTCATTGAGTTGCACCCTGCAGATCGATGCTCTTTACACAATGGAATTGTTGCATCTCATTGTTAAAAACAAATAAATCCAGGAAGACCGAATATGGGTTCTGGGATCCGATTGAAATCTCGATTCTGCTACTTCTGATCCTGATGACCCTGGTTATTCTGCTTCTCTGTGCAGGCAGTCATGAACTTGGAAATCGCATCACTACTAGAATAACAGTGGGATTGTCAAGAGGACCAATGGAGCATCTAGCACCTAGTGCAGTGCCGGACACACACAGGAAGTGTTCGACACTTGGTAGCTCTTATCAATAATGCAGGGTTTACATCTCAAGCCATGAGAAACACTTATTCCACCAATATTTACCAAGCACTCCATATGCCAGACACTGGGATGGGCTCTGGAGATAAAGCAGACCTGGCTCCTTTTGCCCGGAGAATTGACACTCTAGTTCAGTCAACAGACGTGACTTGTCCACAGCTACGTAGCTGATAAATGCCCCGGGTGGGACCCAAGCCAAGCTCCTCCTTGGATGGAGTGGATGCTCTTACTTCCCTTGGTCTGTCCCCTGGGGGCATTCCAAGGTAAGACGATGCCACAGACGTCTCCGCTGCCTATCTGCGACGGGCACCCCAGATTTGCAGCTGTGCCCTCACGGGTCTCTAGCCCCTCCTAACCTGCCTCTGGACAGCAGGCTGAAGCCCTGAGCCGAGTGGCCCTCTTGCTGAGTCCAATCAGGCATCTGGGAGGTGGGCTTCAGAGCCCCCACCCCCAGAAAGGAGGGAGAGGTTAACAGCCTGGATTCAATGACCACGGATGCTCTCGAATCCCTTCTTCTTCCCCACGACCCTCCAAAGTGCCTCGATGACCTACATCCACACAAACAGTGACCCTGTCTCCTGATTTGGAGGTGGCGTTTTTACAGGGATCCAGTTCAGGTGAGGTCTCTACGGTGGGTTCTAATTCAACAGGACGGAAGGGGACGTTGGGACACAGAGTCACACAGAGAGGGAAGACAAGGTGAAGAGACCAGGAGACGGCCACCTACAAGCCAAGGAGAGGCCCGATCGGATCCTTCCCACGCAGGCTCAGAAAGTGCCAGTCCTGCCCACACCTCCCTGTTGGACTTCCAGCCTCCCGCCTGCGAGACAATAAGTTTCTGTTGTCGAAGCCGGCCAGTCTGTGCCACTTTGTTCGAGGTGGCCCTCGTGGACAAGTATTTGAGAAACAATTCGTGTCCCAAAAGGTTCTCCAGTGAAATCATCTGCAAGCCCGTGATTTTCATCATTTAGTTGTGTCACCATCACCAGGATCTAAGCGTAAAACAGTTTCTTCACCCCAAAAGGAAATCCTGGGTCGTTAGTGAGCCACACCCCACCCCCTCTGTACCCCTGGCTCCTGCTGACACTCCTGTGCTCTGTGACTGCGTGGATTCGCCTTCGTCTGGACATTTCCTACCAATGGAGTCAGACAGCATGTGGCCCTTTGTGTCTGATTCTTTCAGTTCATGTTTCCGAGGTTGATTCACGAGGTAGCAGGTCAGGATACCATTCCTTTTACAGCTGCGTCACAGTCCCTTGTATTGATACAGCACATTTTTTATCCATTCATCAGTTGCTGCACCATGCAATTTTATTTTAAAATGAGGACTCGAAGCATGACAAATAGCCACATGTGTTGAATCTAAGCGCTGAGAACACGGATATTTGTTAAGTGGATATTTCTTTACACTTTTCTGTATGCTTGAAAGATTTCACTTTTTTTTTTTTTTTTGTATTACTGAGGTTTATGCTTTGCCACTGAGCTATACCACCAGCCCTTTTTATATGATTTTTTTTTTTTGAGACAGGCTTTCACTAAATTGCTGAGGGCCTCAGGAAGTTGCTGAGGCTGGTCTCGAACTTGCAAAACTCCTGCCTCAGCCTCCCAAGTCACTGGGGTCGCAGGCATAAGCCACCATGCATGTAGAAGTTTCTACAGTGTTTAATGTTTTTTTTAAAAAATATTTTTTAGTTGTAAGTGGACCTTTATTTTGTTTATTTTTATGTGGTGCTGAGGATCAAACCCAGTGCCTCACACGTGCTAGGCGAGCGCTCTACCACTGAGCCACGACCCCCGCCCCAATGTTTAATGTTAATAAGTATATTTTAAAATATATATATTGAAGGAGACAGAGAATAAGTCTCCAGCCATGAAAGGAAGATAATGAGTTGCTGACGTACTAAAGGGAAAGATGGTCTAATATTAAAGAAAGAAAAAGGACTTTGGAATCTTCTTTTCCAACTTCCTGTTCCCCTACGGACTAGCGTGCTGGGGACGGGGATGCCACTTAAGTCTCAGTCTATGAGGCTGCCATCTGTGTCTTTGCATTTTTTGGCTACTTTCCTGCCAGGCTCTGTGCTCAGGGAAGGTGTGACATTTTTTTTTCAAAGAGTAGGAAGGGACTATCCAGGCTCCCCGGACCCTACCTGGATCCGTGACCCCCTGTAGCCACCTGCAGGACCACCCCAGTCTGAACTCTGGTGATCTGCATCCCTGAAGAGTTCACTCCCTCCTGACACCGTCATCCCTCAGCTGCCCACAGGCACCGGTGGCCTAGATCACCTCCCACGTGGGTGGCATGACCCCAGGTGAAGGGACTGTGGTGTGGTCTGACCCCTCCGCACTGCCCATTCATCACGGACCTGGGCCTGGCACTGGCTCTGAGCTTCACCTTGTGCTTCCTCCTCCCACAGTATCAAGAGGAGGACCATACTTACCCCTGTGGGAAGGCGGGGCTCAGAGAAGCAAAGCGCTGGCCAGAGGTCCCCCCCACCGCCAGGACCTGAGTTCATTCTACAGGTGTTCAGACCCTCCTCATTAACTCACATCACCCAAGGCCTGGCACCAGGTGGCTTGTCTTGCACAGGGACGCGCCCAAGTTCCTCTGACCATGGAGCCCCACTTCCCTGATCCGTGAAGGCAAACCGAAGGGTACCTCTGGGGTAATGCAGCTGTGGGTCTCCCCAGCCAGCTGGGCCCATTGGTCCTCTTGTTTATAGAAGCTCGTGTGTGTGTGTGTGTGTGTGTGTGTGTGTGTGTGTGTGTGTGCGCGCGCGCGCACACACACGCGAGCACGTTTGTGGCCAGGCATCAACACAAAGGTGTCTAAGTTTTCCTAAGGCCCTATGGACGTCGTCTTACTTGCAATCA